CCCGTTACCAGATCAGGCGCAGAATCAGACTCTCTCACCCTCTGTCTGCCTCTGCAATAATGCGCTTGGTTTCGTCTGGGCGGTGGGGTATGCGGGCTCATGGCATTGTGGCGATGCAGATCCATGCAGCATACGATCCCACATGTCTCCCGGTCACTTCTGCCTCCCAAGAGTCGTGCGCTGTCCACGCACGTCTCGACGCTCCAGCAGAAACGGGCTTATCACGCGCCTATGTTGCTCCCGCCCACAAGATGTATTTCATGCCGGCATCCCACAAGCTGGGCGTCTTCTTCCCTCGGCTCCTGTCCTTCTTCCAGCGTCCTTTGAGAGTCTGTTGATGTGACTGAGGTCTCGGCGAAATTGACAAGTCTCGAGATTTCCCACTGAGGCTGTGCGACTTGACAAAGCCTTGACCGAATGGCCCGCCCTAGCGCTCAATCTGGTGATGCTATCCAACCTGTAGCATCACACTTCTACACTTTAAGAAGCAGAGAAGTGGCGGGGGTTGGAAGCATTCGTGCTCAGAACTCGAGAAGACATATGAGAAGTGAGGACGATACAGAGTCCTTCAAAATCCAGGACCGGGACCTCAAGAGGAAACAGGTAAATGGCAGGCTGTCTGTCTCCGCCGCTGCACAACGACACTGATCAGAGGCAGACCTTCACAGGCATCAAGCTGCTATGGCTGGCATACCAGTCCACCGGGGTCATCTACGGCGATATCGGCACAAGTCCTCTCTATGTCTACTCGTCGACTTTTACGCACGACCCTTCTTATGATGACCTTCTTGGAGCTTTGTCTTTGATCATCTGGTCACTCACTATCATGGTGAGCATCAAATACTGCCTGATTGTTCTTTCTGCGGACGACGAAGGCGAGGGAGGAACATTCGCCCTCTTCTCCCTCCTGTCGAGGTACGCAAATATTGTCAGACGTGATCCTCGCGAAGAGCAGTTGGTCAAAATAGAACGCTATACTGCTAGTGATCTAGGAAGACCAGCGCAAAAGGCTCGAGGTCTTATGGAACGGTCACAGACGACACAATGGCTACTAAAAGTCTTTGGAGTGTTTGGCGTCGCTCTCGTCATGTCTGACGGCGTCCTTACACCTGCACAATCGGTGCTCGGTGCTATCCAAGGTATAGAGGTGGTCCACCCTACTATATCACAGAGTATAGTCATCGGATCGTCATGCGCTATTCTTATCGTCCTTTTCTTGGTTCAACCTTTTGGTGTGACGAAATTGGCCAACACGTTTGCCCCGATTGTTATTGTCTGGCTCCTCCTCAACGCTACATTCGGCATATACAATCTAGCTCGACATGACTCGTCGGTGGTCAAAGCGTTTTCACCTTACTTCGCTGGAGCCTACTTGGTCCGGAATAAGGCGGATGGTTGGAAAAGCCTGGGAGGTATTCTTCTAGCATTTACTGGTTGTGAAGCCCTCTTCGCCGACCTGGGGGCATTTACTCAACGCGCCATCCAGCTCTCCTGGCTCACGTTCGCCTTCCCTTGTCTATTGCTCGGTTACATCGGCCAAGCAGCATATATTTCTGACGACCCGTCTGCATGGTCGAATCCGTTCTACAATACAGTTCCACCGGGATGTTTCTGGCCGTCGCTGATCGTCGCGATTTTGGCAGCTGTCGTTGCGAGTCAAGCAATCATCACAGCAGTCTTTCAGCTACTCACCCAAATCATGAAACTAAGCTACTTTCCACAAATAAAGGTCGTGCATACATCGAAGATCTTCTACGGCCAAGTCTACATTCCCATTGCGAACTGGCTTCTGATGATTGGTGCCGTCGTCGTGACCGGAGTCTATACCAATACTACGAAATTGGGTCATGCCTATGGTGTCTGCGTGGTACGTGGTCGACTCTGCATTGTCATTCATCATCTTCCAAGAGCGGTTGAACTGATCATCCTCGCTCCACAGATCTTGGTGACCATGCTGACAACCTGTATGGTCGCCGTAGTAGCCTTGATTGTCTGGCGTGTCCCAGCTGTTATTGTGCTACCCGTTTGGCTCATCTTCGCTCTCTTTGATGGCACCTTCCTCTCCTCGGCCGTGACAAAGGTACCGGAAGGCGCATGGTTCACTCTGGTCCTGGCAGTTGCTCTTTCGTCCACCTTCCTCCTCTGGCGCTACGGCAAGGAACAGCAATGGCGCGCTGAAGCATCAGATCGCTTCCCACCAAGTCATCTAATCCAGGCCATCGCGACTCCTGTCACGGATAGCAGCAATATCTATACTCGAAGGCTGAAGCTTTCGCCGGCGTTTGGCGGTCAAGAGGTCAGGCGTATTGAAGGCATGGGGATTTTCTTTGACAAGTCAGGTCTACCCTCCAGTACACCGACAGTGTTCATCCACTTTTTGCAGAAATTCCATGCTGCGAACGATGTCATTGTCTTGTTCCACTTGCGACCCTTGCAGATTCCCACTGTGCCGCCCGACGAGAGATACGCGGTGTCGCGGTGCTATATCGGGGACGAAGATGGAGACAGCAAGCGAATCATGCCTGATACATATCGCGTCATCATTCGGCATGGATACAACGACGAAATCGTGTCAAATGATTTGGGAGGCATGCTGTACGAGCAGATCCGAAATTATCTCATCCGCGAATATGTGGACATCATCTCAGCAGGAGACGCAGATTTGATCATTGAAGGTGCAAAAGAAAGAGATCCTGTCATCTCTTATGCCGAAATCGCTTCATCCACACCAGGGTCCGGACGCCCTTCCTTGGAAAATCTCGAGCTCACTCATAGACTCTCCGAACTGCAACGAGCGTACGAAAGCCAGGTGGTCTACATCGTGGGCAAAGAACAAATGCGCGTGAAGAAGGAGGGGAAACTTTCTCCAAAGTATATCATGCGCAGAGGCATATTGGAAATATTTTTGTGGCTTCGTGAGAATACGCGAACAAAAGTCCAGGCCTTGAACGTGCCGGTGGAGAAGGTTGTCGAGGTGGGCTTCGTGAAGGAGGTATGACCATGTGGTAGAGTGAGAGTACTTCCGAGAAATTTGGTGCCAAAGATGTCAAGATAAATGGGCCAGAGTTTGAATTGGACAATGCCGTTGATCTTTGAAGCATGTCGACTTGGTCAGGTGCGTCACCAACTCGCTCAATTCTTGTCTTCAGCAGAAAGGCACCTCTAACAATCCCAGTGCTTCTGATTCCCTAACCCTTGACAATGGCCAAGAGAAACCCATCAAACGTCTCGCTTTCGCGTCCCTTGTGGCTACTGACCACACTAACTAGTGTGGCCTTTACTCTGTCGTCTTTCCCTACCTTGACCGGCAGACTCTCCTTCCGCCCAGCTTCCAGATCTTCACTATCGGTTCCCTCGAGTATCTCACGAACGACGTTGTCGATGTAAATGCAGGCATTTGGGCGCGCAAGCCGCACGGCGTGTTGGAAATAATCGTATTGCTCGGCCCAGTCGGCGTCAATGAAGATCAAGTCGAACTTGGCCCTTTTGCCGTTCTGTTGTTGTACAAGAAGTTTGGGGAGGCTGTCCAACGCGGGTCCGAGGATGATTTCAAAATCCTTCTCCTCTTCGTAGCCCGCATGTCTGAGGTTTTGGATCGCCACATCACGGTGATGAGGGTTTATCTCGAGAGAAGTGACGTGGGCGCCGGCACTCAAGAACCAGAGTGTCGAATAACCTCCCAGCGTGCCGACTTCTAGGATGTTCTTCGCGTTGATCAGCTGTGCTTGGATCGCCAGGTATTGGCCTTGTAAAGGGGAGATGGTTATGGGTGGAAGACTGTTGGCGGCGGAGTTCTCAAGAGCATAAGAAAGAGCTTGGGAGAGAGCCGTATTGGGTTGTGGGAGAAGGGAGGATTCTGCGACAGCGTCGATGTTCTGAGCGCGTTGGTAGAGGGACATGATGAAGAGATCCTGGTTCGTGGATTAAGTCGAAAACAAATCTTTGTTAGACTCTAATCTCGCTCTTCATTCTCGAAGACGACGACAGTCAGTTCATTTATATAGCCATTTGTATCGCCCGTTGTAATGGCGACTATCAGCGATAGAGCCGAGTTCGCCGAGGAGTCGGCCATATGGAGGCATTAGGCTGTCAGGCTGCCTGCAGTATTGGCCAATGAACCAACACCATGCGTATGTTAGTGGTTTATGTTAGTTGATTGGTTGCCGATGGGAGAGGCAACGTTCACACACCTGAGCGAGAGACGCGGAACATGTGCATGGACACGGAGAGGAGAAGAGTTGGTCGTGGCAAGCCATTCCAGATTGAACCGAGTCTCTGCCAGACGAATAAGCAAAGTCTGTAGTCTCGGATCAAAGTTTCTCCGTGGTTGGGCCTCGACATGCCTGCTTGTACCGACGCCGAGCAATTACATGTATCAGTCAATTCACAGCTGTGAACTCGAGCACAACACACACTCTCCACCACCTTTTTTATGAGAGGCACACCCTCCCCTGGCGCTAGTGCGGGACTCAACGTCGACACCAAACCTCACCTCACTCTTCTTGTTCCCGCGTCTGTCGATCTGAGTTCTCCCAGACGACACTTGCGGAGACATCCTGAGTGACACACTCCTCTCCAAGATGGCGCCCTGATTCTTGTATCGACGTCAACACCCAGACGCTTTTTTTTTTTTGAAGAACCTCAGTGGTCCACCGTGTCAGAGAAGTAGTATACGGGATTAACACCTTCACACCTGTTCTGCAACCCCCCTGCAGATTAGGAACTTCCGCCCAGAACAAATGCCATGGCTGACACTCGAACTATACTTGCTCTTGACCGCTTCCCTAGAAGAAGATCTGAGCATGACATGCTGGTAGGGGGATTTCTGCGACCAGTATCAAAAGGGCCAGGGCAAGAAAGCGATGACCAAGACGTAAGCTGGCCTCTGGTTGACTTACGGGAAAATGAAGAGCCTCAACCCAGCAACGACTATCCTTGTGAACACTGCGGTAGACTTTTCAAACACATTTCTTTGCTCAGAATCCATCTTTTGGAGAAGCATGAATATGTTCGTTGCCGTGGATGTAAGCAGTTATTTGCGGGACCCGAAGCCTATTCACGCCATCGAAAGGAAGAGGGGGCACTTGGAAATTGCAGAAAGGCCGCTGCCGATACGGCAGGAAGTCTCGCTAGACCCTCCGTCTATTTGGCCGGCCGTAAAGTCAACAACACACGATCTGGAGCCCATGATCAAGCCCCGCCTGAAGATAAATCAACCGACAATCCCGGCAATGCATCCCAGGTTCAGGAGAGACAAACCCCTGTTCAAGTAATCTCAGTCGGACTTGCGGAGGAATCAGATCCTTTCACACCTGAGTTCAGCAATGCACTTGTGTCTGCCACGACCGACTCGCGACATGTCAACATCACTACGATGGCACCGAGAGCCTTGCATTTCCCAGTCATCGGTCGTGCGAGGCACCCATCGCCCCAGTCACAGTCTGAGTTACAGGTCGCGGGTCTCGCCTCCCCAAGCCTTAGCAGGACGCTCAACTCTTCTACCTCAGAAACATCAAGCTCTGGCTGGACCGAGGATGGCCGAGAGCGAGACGTGAACCTGGTCGTTTCTCTGTCGTGCTATACCTTGCTTTGGACATTCCTGAAGTTGGTGACAGCACCTTCCGAGTCTGCTCAGCAGCCCAGGGACGGGCCAAACCACACAAAAGATGTCCTTGGACACAAGTCATCATCTCGGAATAGTCGAGCGAGTGGAAAGAAAAGGCAAGATACTTCCGAAGACGAATTGGACGACGAAGACGGGGAGAGAGGCGCAAAACGCAAGCGAGTAGATGCCACATGTGCAGACGAGCATGATATCCGACCACTTGCGTGCCCCTTCAACAAGTATGACAACGTGTTGTTTGGGCCAGAATCGGCAGACGAAGCATATCATTGCTGTGCTACTTCCAGCTTTATGAATATTGCACGTCTAAAGTAAGGTCTCTAAAGTCGCATCCGTGAAGTCGGCTAACTCCTGCTAGGCAACACCTTCAACGAAATCATTATGCCCCTCGATATTACTGCTGTCGATGCTGTAGGCGCGATTTCTCTTCGCAGGCCATGGTCGCAGCCCATTTGCGCGAAACCCCGATGTGCCCCGTCCTTGAACCACCGCTCTTTGTGGAGAAGATCAGTAAGGACTTGGCCGAGGAGCTCGGGCTCGATCGCAAAAACTCCCCGCGCACGGACAGGATTGCATACTGGCACAAGATTTATGACACTTTCTTCCCCGGTGCTGCTAAGGATCGTCCGGTCAGTCCATGTAAGTGACAATGAAAGCAGCTTTACGACCGTCGCTTATTATCTCAACAGATTACGAAGGACCTGCGGCAGAGCATCTCCGCCAATTTCTTCTGTTCTCAGAGAGAGCTTTAGGACAACTGATACCAGCTGTCCAGGAGCGAACAGGTCTTCTGACACATTTGACCCCTGGCGGCCAAGAGCGACTACTTCGAGAAGTTCAACAGGAGGCAGGCCAGAGATATCTCCAACACATTGCTAACAGATGCATGCCTCGCTTATGCCGTCCAGCTCCCATCTCCGAGGTATTACGGACCCGCAGCAGTGCCCAAAATCTAGATCCATCGATGAATGTCGTCGAAGCACCATCTCTGCTGGCCAGTACCTCTCTAGAGACAATCGAGAGAAGCGTACATCAAGCATCTCCGAGCGATATTGCTGCTGGCGTGGACGCGGCTCTACATACCTTGCCCCGAAATCTTCCAGGTTCGCACGTCGATGTTGGATACGCTCCGCGCACTTCACAGGTTCAAGAAAGTCGCCTTGATCAACAGAGTATCGATGCATTGTTTGAACCGTTGCTTGCAGGTGATTTGTTTCATGCTGCGGTTGGTGACCCCCAAGATTTTGGACATGATTCTTCGCAAATCCATTTTTCCTACCCCGGACAGTTTGGTGATGTTGTGTATTTCCCAGAAGGCCAGGTTGAAGAATGAACAGTTGGAACATGTTATGAGAGGAAATCTAGCGTAACTTTACCGCAACAGCAATTGTTATGTTCTTCCTATCTCGTGGGCGTCGAAACGAACATGGTTCTCAACCTTGGGATACTCGCTCAATAAAGACCAACATGATTGGCTGATGTGGACGACCGGGGTCTGTCTTGGCGACGCAGGGTTGAGCTTCAAGAAAAAAAGTTCCCCGTCAACCGATCCGAGCATTGAATGTTCGAGGATCTGCGTTCCAGCATTCGTGGCCTCAGCATCAACGAACTGTCAAGATGAGTGCCTCGCGTGCTATCGGAGGGTCCTCGAGGCTTCTCGGCAATTTGACACGCTCGCACAACTCAAGTCTCGCACGACACTGGCTTGGCCGACGCTGTGCTTCCACTGCAGTTCTCCCGACCTTGTCCGCGAGCCTGCGGTCGCAGTCGAAACAATGGCCGCTGGATCGACGGTGGCAGCAACGGCGAGGTGCCGCCGGCGCCGCAGCTGCAATGTAAGCACTTCTCACTGCTTTCCCCTGTCCCTCGTCTAATACGTGACAGGCTGGAAGAAGCCCAGGATGACCCCGACGCCCTCTCTCAAGAAACCATTATTCACAACCTATCGCCCGAGGAAGCGCACCGGTTATCAAGAGTGCGGAACATTGGTATTGCGGTCAGTCACGGGCCTCGGTTTGCTTAGGTACAAGTTGGTTGACGTCGACAGGCACATATTGACTCTGGCAAAACGACGGCGACGGAACGTGTCCTATTCTACACGGGCCGGATCAAGTCCATCCACGAAGTTCGCGGCAAAGACGCCGTTGGCGCGAAAATGGACTCGATGGAACTCGAGAGAGAAAAGGGCATCACCATTCAATCCGCAGCCACTTTCTGTGACTGGGTCAAAAAGGAGAACGGCAAGGAAGAAAAATACCACATCAACTTGATTGACACGCCCGGACACATTGACTTTACCATCGAGGTGGAGCGTGCACTGCGGGTGCTGGATGGTGCCGTCATGATTCTGTGTGCGGTGTCCGGCGTCCAAAGTCAGACCATCACAGTGGATCGGCAGATGCGGAGGTACAACGTGCCCCGAATCAGCTTCATCAACAAAATGGACAGAATGGGCGCAAACCCGTGGAAAGCCGTCGACCAGATCAACAAGAAGCTCAAAATCGCCGCTGCGGCTGTTCAGGTGCCCATTGGTGCCGAAGACGAGTTCCGCGGCGTCGTTGACTTGATCACCATGAAGACAAACTATGCTGAGGGTGAACGTGGCGAGATCATTGTCACCAAGGATGAAATCCCGGCCGAGGTCCAACAGCTCGCCAAAGAGAAGAGGGCACAGCTGATCGAAACACTTGCCGACGTCGATGACGAGATTGCCAACTTGTTTCTGGATGAACAGGAGCCTACGACCGAGCAGCTAAAGGCCGCCATCCGGAGGGCCACCATCTCGCTCAAATTCACTCCCGTCTTTATGGGATCTGCCCTCGCCGACAAATTTATCCAACCGATGCTCGACGGTGTCTGCGATTATCTTCCCAACCCCTCCGAGGTGTCCAACACCGCTCTCGACCGAAGACAGAAGGAGGCCCCCGTCAAGCTTGTCCCTTATAACTCGTTGCCTTTTGTCGGTCTTGCATTCAAGTTGGAAGAATCAAACTTTGGGCAGCTCACGTATATCCGCGTGTATCAGGGCAAATTGCGAAAAGGCCTCAACGTGTTCAATGCTCGGACCGACAAGCGGGTCAAGATTCCCCGTATCGTCCGCATGCACTCCAACGAGATGGAAGAAGTCAACGAGATCGGCGCCGGAGAGATCTGTGCGGTGTTTGGAATCGAATGTGCATCGGGTGACACGTTCACGGACGGACAATTGGGGTACACCATGACCAGCATGTTCGTGCCCGAACCCGTCATTTCCCTCAGCATCAAGCCAAAGAACAACAAAGACTTGCCCAACTTCTCCAAAGCCATCGCGCGGTTCCAGCGCGAGGATCCGACCTTTAGAGTTCACTTTGACACCGAAAGCGAGCAGACGATCATCTCGGGCATGGGCGAACTTCACTTAGAGGTCTACGTCGAGCGCATGCGCCGAGAATACAAGGTCGAGTGCGAGACCGGCCCCCCGCGGGTTGCTTACCGAGAGACCATCACCAAACGCGTCGACTTCAACCATTTGCTCAAGAAACAGACTGGCGGAGCAGGTGATTACGCACGTGTTGCAGGTTATATGGAGCCCAAGGGTAACCTCGAGGGCAACCACTTTGAAGAACACATTATTGGTGGCGCCATCTCGGAGAAATTCTTGTTCGCTTGTGAAAAGGGTTTCCACCTGTCTTGCGAAAAGGGTCCTCTGGTCGGCCACAAAGTGCTCGGCGCGACCATGGTCATCAACGACGGTGCGACCCACATGACCGATTCGAGCGAAATGGCCTTTAAAAACGCAACGCAGCAGGCCTTCCGCAAGGCATTCATGGACGCCGACCCAGTGGTGCTGGAGCCTATGATGAAGACGGTCGTGACGGCCCCGACCGAGTTTCAGGGCAACGTGGTCGGGCTGTTGCAGAAGCGGAATGCGGTGATCAACGACACCGAGGTCGGCGTGGACGAATTCACCGTCTGGGCCGACACCAGTCTTAACGGCATGTTTGGGTTCAGCGGCAACCTCCGCGCGGCGACGCAGGGCAAGGGCGAGTTCAGCATGGAGTTCAGCCACTACGAGCGTGCGCCGATGCAGCTGCAAAAGGAGCTCCAGTCCGAGTTCCTCAAGGCCCAGGCGGAGAGGAACAAGAAATGAACAACGACCAACAGCGCACGAGGTTCGTTCAGGCGTTGCAGCCAGCATTACCGCTCGAAGCAGGTTCGCAGACCCTCGACCTTGACCTTTCTCTCCACGTGGACCGTATGGAATCAGGCCGAGTTCAGCTTTTGCCGGCCCGTGCAAACGAATATCCCGGGCGAGAGAAGACCATCACCGCCCAGCGACCAGAGCACGGCGTTTGGAGTTCCCAAGCCCAGAGCATCCTGCCAACCACTGGGAGTGCAACGAGTGACAATTGTGCGTCGACCCTGCCAAAGCCAAAATGTCGCAGTACACAGGTCACCGCGCGGATCATCTTGATGGATACCTGGCCGCGGGTGCACAAGTCACGCATCACCCGCCTCATCTCGACACGAATACCAAGTCCTGGTCGGTGTATGAAATCCCAGCATCTGCAACGATTATTGTCCAGGGGTTTGGCCAGACATGTTTGCTGTTACCATCAAAAAGTAGGAGTTGGGGGGGAAAAAATATTCGGGCGATGTATAATGTCATTATCATCATGATACCTACACTAGTTACCAGGTACCGGGTACCGGGTACTAGGTATTTTTCGAGAGCCACGGGGCATACATGTGTTATTACATACCAATTACCAACCTCCCTACTTACTTACTTGTGTAACTAGATTACTCGAGAACGAAAAACACAATTGCCATACACATTTTGATCCTAGAGGGTTAGATGTTGTAGGACTGTTAAGGATTGGGTTATCTTGCATGCTTCATTTAGTTGGGTTAGGGACAAATGTTATCAGAAGAGTTCAGGTAACAGGCTGCGTTTTGCTTTCGAACCAAAGCAATGAGTCCGACTGATTTGCCCTCTCCCCAAATCCGCCGGCCCCCCAGTACATACCCAGCTGATCATCATGGGGCCATTCTATCCCTCTCGAAACGACGCCCAAATCCCACGAGACGCGTGACTCCTCTTTTTCCTTGATCAAGAGATAGATTTGGCCGCCAGCAGTATCATCTATTCCGACGGAGAGATTCACCGACTCCCATGATCCTCTGACTAGAACAATGAAGTGGTATTGTGGTTACTGTTCGTAATGAGCCCTCGAATGCTTCCATACCTTTTAGAGACTTCGATAATGGCTCTAGTGTCACGAACAGCTTCTTCCAAATGCCCTACCTTGCCCTCACGAAACGAGAGGGTGAGGCAGGGCAGGTCAATCAGGTGTGGTACACAGGGCAGTCAGGAGACGAGGCTGTCAGGCTAGAACATAAGGTTCTCTTGATGCATTCGGCCTATTAGCCGGCAAGTGTGGCCGAGACGGCAGAACCTCGGTTTTTCTAGTCTACTCAGTATATATATTGGAGTTAACACATACATTTCCAATTCATCCCAGTAATTGGCGACGCTTTGGCCGAGCGGTTAAGGCGGTGAGTGCAACTACATCCATACATTTACCTGCAGTCTTACTAATCCATACATAGACACCCTGCTACTCTTAAGTTGTTGAGGTGTTCTCTTCGGAGGCACAAGTTCGAATCTTGTAGGCGTCGATCACTTTTTTTTTTTCTTTTTCCCTCCAGGGAGCGCTCAAGAATCGGAAGCACTCAGCAAGCAGAAGGTGAGCAAGGGTGAGCAAAGAGAACGAGCGATTAAACATAAGGCGACGACGAGGGGCAAGTTTTTGCGCTTGAAACTACCTATTTATGTACTTAACACTCTACTTTACTCTACACTCTGAGCGATGTTGACGTTGGGCCATTGCTGGACTTTTACCCGGCCAGTTTCAGCGTACCTCTACATGTATATCTAGACAGACATACAAAAACATACGAAACAACTCAAGTCAGACCGGGGAGGGAAAAAAAGGAAAACCATTATTTTGTCAACTCCCTTTCTCAATAGTGTCCCATTTTTGCTAAAGTCATATGCAGCTAAATATCCTTCTTGATCAGATCCGCGCCCTTCTCAGCCACGGCATAAGTGGTGGCCATAATATTCCTGTGTCGTCAAAAATCAGCATTGATCCATGGACACTCTCTGTCAGCCAAAAGACAGAATTCAGGACTTACCCAGATACATGGCCAGGGAAGATTGAAGCATCCACCACCCTGAGGTTCTTGACCCCTTTGACCTTCAAGTCTGTGTCCACAACCTCGCCGAGCGCGCACGTCCCGATCAAGTGGTACTGTGTGCTGATGTGGTTCTTGACATACTCGATCCTCTTCTCCTCGCTGTCGAGACTCTCCTTCTCGGGCGGCAGTTCTCTCTCAGCGAGTGATTTCGCCAGCAAGGGATGCCTGGCGACTTTGTCCATCCACTTCATACCGGCCGCGAGGATTTTGGCATCAACCTCATTCCGGAAGTACCCCGGATCGATCTCGGGTGGCGCCAGCGGGTCCGACGATTTGATGTGTACTGTGCCTCTTGACAGAGGGTGTTCTAGGCACATAAGCAACGAGAGCTGCTGTTTGCCGTTGGGCGATTTGCCAAAGAACTGCGTCTGATCGGAGCCCTTGGCCACATCAAGACGGCATGGGATGCAGAAGGTTTGGAGATTGGCAAAGGTTGGGTCGCGGAGTTGATCGACAATTACCTAGCATCAGCATGGGGTTGTGTCAGTTCAGTCAATGGAAGAAGTACTATGGACGTGGTCTATTGTCGACGACGGTTAGTCACTTACCTTTTCTTGAGCTTTCTCAAAGTCCGTCTTTGCAAGCGACTTCTCTTTGATTTCTTTAATCGTTGCGTCGAGCTCGTCAGGAGTGACCAGGGACGCGTACGACACGAATCCCATCATCATGCCTGGGCTAGCATACAGGCCTTTCTGACTGTTCTGATAGACGTCCTGCTGTGCTTTCATGAACTCTTCGCCGTGTAGAGCATCCATGGAATCAATGCCGGGTTTGAGGTCGAATAGGAGTCCTCCGAGAACATGGTCCTGGAAATTGGCGCCCACTCCCTTGTTCTCAACGACGCACTCGACACCAGCCGCCCTGAGAACTTCGGGATCGCCGATTCCCGAGAGCTCGAGCAATTGAGGACTTTGAATCACGCCGGCAGACAGAATGACTTCGCGCGTTGCGTCGACGCTGTATTTCTGACCCTTGTGGACGAATTCAACGCCCTTGGCCGTGTCTCCATCCAAGATAATCTTGGTGGCCTGCGCTTCCGTCAGGACTTTCAAGTTTGGTCGTCTCAGATTCGGACGAAGATATCCGGTTGCAGCGTAGGATCGCTTTCCAGGATCATCGGATCTGTTCACGGCCCCAAGACTCGAATAGAAGCCCAGATGGTCGCCGCTCCACGCGTCATTAATGGTCTTCTTTGTCCCGGTAACTGCATAGGCAGCTTCGGCAAATTCCACCTCCAATGGCATATACCAGTCGTTGAAGCTGGTATGGACAGGCCCACTGGATCCGTGGTACTTGTCCCCTCCCGCGATAGGCATGAATTGTGGATCACTGTGCCGGGCAGAGTCGTCTAATGTTTGGTGTTTCTTGAAGTAAGGAAGCATGTCCTCCCAACCCCAGCCAGGGTTGCCCATTGATTTCCACCCCTCGTAATCATTCTTTGACCCTCTCACGTACATGAGATAGTTGATAGCAGAGCTGCCGCCGAGCACCTTTCCGCGAGGCATCGAGTAGACCTTGTTGCCTGCATTGGGTTGTGGTGTGCTCGTCATGCACCAGTCGTACTCTTTCCTGCCAATCTACAGAGGGGGTCAGGCGCCTCGCGTGGAGATGTAACGTCCTACTCACCATGGTGGGATAGAGTGAAGGCGTGGAAACGGCCTTATCGTCCATTCGATTCTCTCCAGCTTCCAGGACCGCGACTGAAATATTTGGATCCTCGGTGAGGCGAGCAGCAACCACTAGACCAGCAGTACCTCCTCCAACCACAACAAAGTCATATTTGCGAGACACCAATTCATCAACAGAGCAGAGGGCACTCGAGGAGCCGTTGACATGGCCGTTGACGCCGTTTGTGGCGGACATTGTGGCTCGAGAAGAGAGTCGTGTACAGTAGATTCAGTGAGCGAAACGGGAGATGCAATGGCTACGATGGCCAGAACAGCGAAACGGGCTTTTCATAGACACCTCATCACCTATCTATGCGTCTACCTGGTCAGGAATGCCACGTCCTTCTGCTTCCCCCGCATGCGGACCTGAGGTGCCCGAGGAACATCTTTTGCGGGGTGCAGCCAATCGCTGGAACTCTGGAGAGGACTTGGTGACGAAGAAAAGAGGAGAAGGGATCAGATTCGAGATCTGTGTTCGGGATGATCATCTCGGAATCATGGATGGCACATCACTCAGCCAAGGGTTGGTTGTGGCAACGGCGAAGATCCGGTTAGAGGATATGGCTAACCGCCGCGGCAGCCGGGGTACGACGTGGACCATAGTATGCTCTCGTGGACGACACCACCAAGCTCAGAAGACGATCATGATGATGAGAATGAAGACTGCCGGATGGGTAAACACATTATACCAAGTGTGGGTGCTCTGCAGGCAGGGCCAAAAATAGGGGAGGCGTCTGGCTAGAACCAAGTCATGGATATTATTGATGGCAAAGTGGCCGCAGCCGCAGCCACAGTTACAGTCCGCAGTTTGCCAGTCGCTTCTGCGGACCCGATACGGATTGGGATGCGGGAACCGTGCGTGACATTGGCCTCCGTGGCTCTGTCTCACTTCTCACTCCTCACTCTCACATGCAAAACATGCATAATTTTTTCTTTCTTGCTTTTTCTCCTCTGTTTATCCGTCAACAACTGCCCCCTATTTCCCTTTTCGACACTTAACTTCTTCTACCCGAGCTCCCGAACCCATTTCTGGTCTTTCGGTGCCCTTTTGTCGTGGGTGGATGGTCAGCGGCTGTTACCTTTCACCTCTTTTCTCTGCTGAGAAACCTCTACGACCACCACCGAGTGGCTCCCTCCTCTCGCTTGTCTCGTCCTCACACAACACATGTGCTCAGAATGTTGGGATCCATTGCCTGTGGACAGATTTACTTCGGGGCTGTTCGTTTCACCCTGCATGCCACGCATGCTCCAAGACGCACTGTTATCCACAGACAACAAGATGGCACAATCGACACTAGATAACACCACGTCGTTCCACGTCCATGTCCTACGTATATCTCAGACCTTTCCGTCCCTTTCCCCCAGTTGCTGATCATTTTCCCTACATCCTGTCTAATTGTGCTGTCCTTCTTCATCCACTCATTCCTACGCGTTCCGTCTTGATTATCGGTCATCATCCCACCTTTTCCGCCTTGATACGTCCTTCGGCATCTCAACACCCTCATTTTGGTGGTCATCGGCGCTCCGGATTTATGCATTGTTCCCCAAAGATCACTTATTCAGCGCATCCCACCTCAGACTACACGTCATTTGTTCCTGCTATACCGGACCTACTTCTCTCCAGCGAACATATTAGGACCCATCCTTCCCTCGAGAGCTGTCGACCGAGTTCCTCCTGTTAAACTCCCGTCGGCCCATCGTCCCTTTGTTCACAATGTCTCACGCCAGAGCATCCAGTCGACACTATTCTGACTATGAACGGGCGCTCGAGAAAGCTGCTGAACGACCCAAAACATCCCCACCTTCTTCGACCACTTCATCTCGAACCTCCTCGGCCACGTCGTTGCAGCCAACCGCCCCAGTGGCCGAATGGTGCCATCAAATGCACTTGATCCAACAGCGAAAATACGATTGGTGTGCAAGCTGCTATCCCAAGCCTCCGCCCGCTCCAAGCGCTATCAGAATCCCGTCACAGAAAGCACTGCAACAGTCAAGAATGAGCAATGAGCCTGGTCATGCATACCAGTAGAACGTCATCCAACGAATATCCTTGTCTGCATATTAGCATGGTGTTGGGGCGTTTTGGACAAACAAAAATCTTGTTTTGAAGTATTGAATCATGAATCATGACCTCTCTCTGCTATAACATGGCATTGAAATGAAAGTTGTAGAGACAATGAATGTACATCATGAACTGCCGGCCATGGCTCTGTCTTTGGCGGCGTTCAGTTTCTCCACCTGCTCTTTGAACTTTAGTTCATATGCTTCTTGTCTGAAGACCTTTTTCATTGTTAGCGTAGACATAGCGATCGTGACAAGACCGTGACATTCATACTCTTGTTGCCTCCAGAGCGCTCGGCTGCCCGACCTCAGGATCAGCCCCGGCTTCTAAGAGGATGTCAATCACTTCGGTCTCGTTCTTGAAGACCGCTCCTGCTAGGATGGATTGCCCTCGATCGTTCAGGCGATTGGGGTCTGCGCCGTGCTGCACAAGCATCAAGGCCAGCGGTGCATGACCGTGGTAAGAGGCAAGCATCAGCTGAGGGAGTTAGTCATTCTGGCGGAAGTCGCTCTGGGCAACCCAGGGCAGTCGATAACTGAGAGGGCCCCTGAAACTGGCTCCCCCATCCTTTCTAAGCACTTACCAATGTGTCGCCCTTGTCGTTGGTCAGATTCGCAGGTAGACCCCTTGGCAAGGCTTGCTCGAATAGATCCGTCTGACCTGCCCGGGCGGCGTCGAAGAACCTTCCTGCTAGAGCCACGGCTTCTGGCGGGAGCTGCTCGGCTGATTGGGTATCGGCACTCGGTGCTGGCTGCGAGACGGGCTCCATTGTCTGAGGAGTCTGTATATATTTCTGACAGCAGGGGAGACCAACCCTCGAGAGAAGTATGGCTGATATATATGCCTACTCTGGACTTTTGTCATTGTGAGGTCTAGTACATTGAGTTGTAATCGGCAATTCGTCGGAATGACGTCGACGAGTTAGTTTGGTTTCCAACATTCTACAGACCTCAAAGAGGAGGTTGACAACGTTTAGCCAGGGGCATGCTCCCTTGTTAGCCCGGGCTACAAAATCATCAGGGAGCCCTAGGAAGAAGATGCGGACCTGCCCGTCTCTTTGTCCAGACAAAAAGTTAATGAGGAGCACCAAGATCCAGCCTCGCACGTGAATGGAGGGGCACACGCAAGGCTGCGGATGCCGAGCCACGAGTGTCAAACAGGCCAAGCGCCATGCCGATTGCGTGATCAGGTCTGTTGCTGATTGTCTGGCTTCGACGCAGTGGACACCATTCTACCACCTCTGACATGCTCCCGCCCTTGGTTGGGTTGTCTACTTGCCTTGCTGCTAAGTGCTGATGCCATTATGGATCCCGCCCGCATCATGGGAGCACGAGGGGCAAGCAATCAGCAATCATGCCACTAGCTGGAGCCAGGGATTTGTCCCTCGAGGTCAGAGGCTTGTTCGAGAAGAGCAGGAAAAAAAGATTTGTCGTCGCCGCTTGAGCCTAAGAGTTCTCAAGTTTTCTTCCCCAATCTGCCATTCTGGTTGACTAGTATAAAACTCCTCGCCTACCCCTCCCATCGCATTCTTGCGCAATCGCAGCCTTTGTCCTCACGCCTGCTCCCTGCTGAACACATCCATTTGCAACACTCCATACACACCGTCAGAGAAAATGGCCGACCGCCCTGAACCGTACGTGGCATCCTTCCCCTCTCCAAAGCTGTGTGGACTTTCAGAAAGAGCATAACTAACGATCAGCGCCCTCCAGTCTCCGCTTGGGCTCAATTGCCCCCAATTTCCAAGCCCAAACCACCAAAGGACCCATTGACTTCCACGAGTTCATCGGCGACAACTGGGTCGTTCTCTTCTCGCATCCGGAAGATTTCACTCCCGTCTGCACGACCGAGTTGGGTGCCTTTGCAAAGCTGGAACCCGAGTTCAACAGAAGAGGCGTCAAATTGATTGGGCTTTCGGCCAACACCATTGACAGTCACGGAGAATGGATCAAGGACATCAATGAGATCAGCGGCAGCAATTTGAGCTTCCCCATTATTGGAGACAAGAACAGACAGATCGCGCTTCTCTATGACATGATTGATCATCAGGATGCCACCAATGTGGATGAAAAGGGCATTGCCTTCACCATCAGATCCGTCTTCGTCATTGACCCCAAGAAGGTCATCCGCACCATCCTGTCCTACCCTGCCTCGACCGGCCGCAATACTGCCGAAGTTCTGCGGATTGTCGACTCCCTGCAGACCGGTGACAAGCACAAGGTCACCACCCCAATCAACTGGGTGCCAGGTGACGACGTGATTGTCCATCCCAGCGTCAAGACCGAGCAGGCGAAGGAGATCTTCCCCGAGATGAAAATCATCAAGCCTTACCTGCGAACCACACCTCTTCCCAAGGAGAAGACTAGTGCTGCTTAGAGGAGTGGTGGAAGCAAAGTAAGCAAGGGAAAGTAAATTCTGATACCACCGAAAATGTAGCAGCTCGAGAGATACTGTGGAACAAACCAGATTTGACTTGGTGCCATACCAATTCAAGGTCATTTTGCGACGTGCATACCCCAACAAATTGCAGAGAAGTTATTTCAAATTGTTTGCGACGCGTCTTGTCTGTTGCTCTCAATGCAGGTACCACTGAATACACGTCAATCAACCACAGCAGCAGTATGCACCCAGTATGTACCCCGTACTTTGTTCCATTGCCCTTTTAGCCCCTGAACCTGGTCACTGAGGTAATCAACCTGCCCTGAACTTGACACCCGTGAACAATTGGCTGTCACAAGCTGTTAGGGCTGCTGATAACCGGCTTGGCATAGCGGCAACTCCCTCCTAACTAACTGCTACTGGTACCGCCGGCACCGCCTGAATCGCCTACAATCGCCTAGAGCGCCCATGTCTTTGCGGCCCCCCATGCCCTGAACGCACCAGTGACAAGTGCCAGTGCCAGTAGTAGCTCCAACTCCCTGCGACTCCCTGCACAGGCGCAGGCACGTAGGTCCATCTAGACTTGACATGGAAACAACTTTTCCGCTACACAAAATTTCACCCCCAGCGTCCTAATAATTCTCCTAGAGTCCTCCACAGAGAGACCCAGTTGTACAAATCTGGACATCGACTTCGTCTTGGATTCAATCTTGCATGAATGTTTTGCTGTTTGCGAGCACTCCCATCTTCAATTCTGATCGCGTTCGGGTTCTCCTTCTTCCGACATTCTCACCACCAACTTCCCCCCCTTTTCTTCTGACATCAGCCAAAGTGACACGGGAGAGAAAACGACCCTTCACGAAAAAAGCGACATCCCGAGACAGGTTCTTTGTCCTCTCGGTCAGTGGTCTATCTTTTCTCCCTCTACGTCGTTGAGATCTTTGCGCCACCTCTGCTACCCGATTTCGATCCCGCCTGCCTTTGCCTCAGCGTTGCCCGCCGGGACAAACGAACGCGTGCTTGTACCCTTTATCGCCATGGCCTACAAAGATCCGAGAAAGGGGAACTTGTCCATCATGTCCTATCGTCAATGTTGTTCTTTCTACTTGTTTATCTTGTCTGCTCATTTGTCACATTGCCGTGTTCCTCGTTATTCGCTTGCCCTCCGCCTCTGGCCTCTTGGGTCTAGAGCTGACAGTCATGGCTAGGTTCCGACGTAAAAGTCCTGGGAAACAGGGTTCTATCCCACGGCTGAGGGAATCGCGGTTCCTCACCTCCCATCTTGACCCACCATCACCGGAGGAACACCACTGGCCGCCCATACCGCCGTTAACCACAGACAACCGCTCCAAATCGGTGGTGTCTAGCGTTTTCGCTCTCTGGCAGAGTCCGTCCTTGCCATCGGTGACAAACGAGAGCCCTGATATCTCTGCAACCTCGCCACAGACACCGAGCGAGGTTTCCAGATATCGATTGACGAGATTACCTGTTCATGATTATGTGCCAAACCCGGCTACGAAGTCTTCCAGTACCACACGATTGCCACGATATGTACCCATAATAATTCCCGAGTTTGCACAGCCATCATTTACTAGAGAACTTTACTCTACCACGTCGCAACCAGATCTTCGGACTACCACTAATTCCTCGCCAACAACCCCGACATTAAACAGCCATCCACGCTCCGCGAGATATTTGGATGAAGCTGATCCGTTTGTCACGGCGGAACTACGAAACTGCGAGGAGGAAAGGGACCCGGTTTCCACGATCAATCCTGCGGAAATGAACAATAGCCAGGTGAGCCTCGTTGCTTCGGAGGCAAGCAATGAGGGCGCAAATGGCTCGAACCAACCCGTGGATGGTACGGGAGGAAATATCGGCATCTCATCTTCGGTTACTCAGCATACCTCAGCTCCGACAAATTTGTCGGGTTTGGTCTGCAATGTGCACAGGACGACAGGTGAAGAGCCCCCGGGGTTGGTTGGCGCAACGACGACAATACTGGGGGACAAGCTGTATGTTTTTGGGGGCAGGGTACACTCTCGAACGAAACCACAGTTGTCCTCGGACCTCTACGAGCTTGATCTCATCCGCCGGCACTGGATCAAGGTCGATGCACTTGGAGATATACCTCCACCTCGCTACTTCCACAGTGTATGTGCCCTCGGGGACTCGAAGCTGGTCTGCTACGGTGGCATGTCACCTGCACCGCACAGCAGCAGGCCTGCGCAAACTGGTCAACCGGGCAAGCCAGAAGGCCAACCAGAGGTCGTGGTCATGTCCGATATCCACATCTTTGATGTACCTACGCGAAAATGGACTCTAATCCAGGCCCCTGAAAATCCCCAAGGCCGTTACGCCCACTGTGCGGCGATATTGGCATCGTCTGCTGTGTTCACATCCGCCAATGCTCCCTTCTCCGCCATCCAGCATAACCCGCCGTCTGCCGATCCTCATTCCGGTACGCTAGGAGTACAACTGGACGGAACTGGTGGCGCAGAAATGGTTGTCGCCGGAGGCCAAGACAGCACGAACAGTTACATTGAACAGTTTAGCGTCTTCAACCTGCGCAGTCTGAGGTGGACAGGCACGACAGCTTGGGACCGCAAATGCGGAGCATATAAAAGCATGGTTGCTCCCATGACAGGACTATCGGCGGAGCTGATTGGTCGAGGAGTTCCGTTGAATGATCCACAAGCCCAAAGAGCCAGTTCGCGTCCCGGGACATCGATGCTGATATACTCCAATTACAACTTCCTGGACGTCAAGCTGGAGCTGCAGGTTCGGTTACCAGACGGTTCATTGATGGAGAAGCCTGTAACTGGCTCCGTGTCCCCGCCTGGGCTGCGCTTTCCCAATGGTGGCATCATTGATGGCCACTTTGTAGTCAGCGGGACATACCTGACTTCGTCGAAACACGAGTACGCACTGTGGGCGCTGGATCTCAAAACTTTAACGTGGGCACGCATTGACACGAATGGCTTGATCTTCTCCCAAGGGAGCTGGAACCGGGGTGTGCTGTGGAACCGAAGAAATACGTTTGTTATTCTTGGGAACCGGAAGCGAAGCCTGGTGGACGATTACAACCATCGACGGATCAATTTCAGTCACGTTTGCATGGTTGAGCTGGAAGCATTTGGCCTTTATGACAACCCTAGAAAGGTGGCTCCGACCTCGGGCTATGTTTCGGTATCTGCTCCGAACATTCCTCCATCGATGCAATCGAGTCTGCTAGGTCAAGCCGCTGGCGGAAGACCATACAACAGCACCGCCGAACAACTCGGTCAGGCAGCTTTGAGCCTGCCAGAGCTCTCTGACATGGAGATTGTGGCATTGGGCGGAGAAAAGATTCCGTGCAACTCATACATCCTGTCTCGACGCTGGGGCCCGTTCTTTAATCAGCTCCTGGCCGAGTCTGTGTCAACGCACGAGAATGTCAGCATATCGGACGGGGCGACGTTGAAGCCAAGTATGAGGTCGCAGGCCAGCCGCAACTCTACGCTGACGATCACGCCAGCCGCAGCGAATGGCCTGGCAGTGGCTACGGCAGGAAGTGACGGCATCCTGGATCCCCAGAGATCACTGAGTCGATCCACGACCAGAACACTGGTCGAGCTGCCGAACACCATCAACATCCCACCTTCAAGTCGACCGAGATCCTTGTACCTGCCTCACATGGCTCCCACGATCCACCTGTTGCTACATTTCCTCTACACATCTTCGCTGCCGCCGGTGGGATCACCATTGTGCACACCGCACACGCTGTGCTCTCTGTTGCAGATGGCCAGACCCTACCAGGTCGACGGTCTGCTGGAAGCCACAGTCGAACGTCTGCATGAGGTGTTGGACGGGCGAAACTCTGCCGCAGTCTTCAATGCGGCTGCGATGGCTGCAGGAGGTGGCCGAGGCCTCCGGGGTGTTGCCGGCAGCAACCTGGTAGGCATGAGTCGACGAGAGAGCGAAGCCACGACCATTGCAGAAGCCACTGTGGGTCTCACGAACAAGACTGCGGGACTCAAGCTGGCGACAAACTACGAAGAGCCCAGCAAGAAAAGAGGGCATGGAAAGTCTAGTTCAATGGATTCAGCATCGACGGCCACTTCGGCGTCAACGTCGACTGACATGTCCCGAACGGACACCGAGACGTCGGGGCAAGACGACAACGCCGAGCACAATGGACATGGGGAGAGGGAATCGCAAGAAATATGGACGGGCGATCTCAGCTCAGTGATTGGGCTTCAGAAACGGGGTCTGCGAGGACTAATGGAAGGGCGGCGATTGAGAGAACGGGCAAATACTGGAGGTACAGGCGGAGAATAGGCTCTTGTGGGGGAAATTGTGTAGATGAAAGATGGCAACAAAAAAGCACGTGCTGATGTCCATTACCCTGGAGCAATGACATGTGATGATGTTGGTGTAGTCAAATTGGCTGTACAAATGCCTCGGCACTTGGCACCTTGGGGTGTGTACAAGGAGGGAAGTGTCTGCGATCCGCCAAAACATCATCTGACCGACCCCAACAACGAATCAGACGCCGGGTAAATGGACCCAAATCATCATCGGAGTCTCCGGTTTCCAGTTAACCTCGATCCCCTTTTTTGTGGAGGAGCGTGACCCGCGATGATGATGATGATGGATGATGTGTGCGACATGCGGCGCACGGCGTGCGGCTTTGCGGTTACTGACCATGCCCTTGCCTTGTGTCAGAATGCCGGGGCATGTGAAAATAACACACAATGTCAACCTTTACAAACAGGGACTGCATCCCTTCCTTTTCTTCCTTTTCTTCTGTTTCTCCTTTCTCCTTGGATCTTCTCTACGCTCCTTGACCACCTTTCCAGTGAATCTTGTTTTTTTGATTCCTGGGAGAGAGACACACCCTCTGAGTGCTTGTGCTACCGCCTGCCACGTACTTACTCACCTTCAGTGACTCGCAAACCCGCCAATCATCCCATTCTAAACTTGTCCGTGCCACAATGTCGAAACGATTCTCGACCGCCGACGTGGCGTCGCACAACAAGGCCGACAACCTCTACATCATCGTCGACGAGGACGTCTATGACCTGACCAAATTCCAAGACGAGCATCCAGGTTAGTTTTCCGCTCCAGTCCCTCCATCCCTCAGCATTTTGTGAAAAGAAAGCCATTTTTACTGACCCGGCGTGTTGTCCTGCATTTATATAGGTGGGAAGAAGAGTGAGTCTCCCCCGTCCCTCCCTTGCCCGAGCCAAAAAGCCCCAATCCCCCGAATGCCTGCCCCCCTCCTCTTAAAAGACTAACGCGGCTCGATTGTGGACAGTCCTGCAACGCGTGGCCGGGAAAGACGCCTCGAAGCAGTTCTGGAAATACCACAACGAGGGGATCCTCAAGAAATTCAAGGCAAAGTTGCAGGTCGGGTCATTGGACACGAAAAAGGTAGAAGCAGCAGCAGCACCGCCCACACCTCCGGCGACGCCGCCCCCGGCGGAAAAGGTCCGTCCGCAAGCAGAGCCTGGGACCGTTGCTCCTGCACCGGGTCCGGCTGCGTCGGAAGAAGTCGAGGCTTTGGATCCCTTTGGGTCTCTGATTCCCTTTGGTGATCCGAGCTGGTATCAAGGTGTAAGTTGGACTTGCTTTCCTTCAACCGCAATTGGGACGCTGACTGACAAATGAATACAAAAGTACCATTCGCCATACTACAACGAGACCCACGCAGCCCTCCGTGCCGAAGTTCGGGAATGGGTCGACACCGAGCTCGAGCCCTACGTGACCGAGTGGGACGAGGCCAAGAGAGTACCTGAGGAGATTTACAAGCAGATGGGCGAACGGGGCTATTTGGCTGGTCTTTTGGGTGTCAAGTACCCGGCGCATCTGGTCAAGAACCCCGTCAAGTCCGTCCCGCCCGAGAAATGGGATTTGTTTCACGAGTTGCTCCTGACGGATGAGCTGTCACGAACCGGTTCTGGTGGACTGGTTTGGAATCTGATCGGAGGCTTTGGGATCGGGTGTCCGCCGCTGGTCAAATATGGCAAGAAGGAGCTCCTCAATCGTATTCTCCCAGGTATCCTCTCTGGAGACAAGAGAATATGCCTGGCCATCACCGAACCTGACGCCGGCTCCGACGTTGCCAATCTGACATGCGAGGCCAAGCTGTCGGAGGACGGCAAGCATTTTATCGTCAACGGAGAGAAGAAGTGGATTACCAACGGCATCTGGAGCGACTATTTCACGACTGCCGTGAGAACCGGTGGTCCAGGAATGGGCGGCATCAGCCTCTTGTTGATCGAGCGCACCGAAGGGGTGAGCACTCGACGTATGGACTGTCAGGGTGTCTGGAGCAGCGGGACTACCTACATTACATTTGAGGACGTCAAGGTGCCTGTGGAAAATGTTCTGGGCAAAGTCAACAAAGGTTTCCAAGGTAAGAAGACGCCTACCACTGTCGAAGGTACCAGCTGCTGATTGGACTGCGCAACAGTGATCATGACCAACTTCAACCACGAAAGAATCGGCATCGTCATTCAATGCCTGCGCTTCTCCCGCGTCTGCTTCGAAGAATGTGTCAAGTATGCGTCCAAGAGAAAGACGTTTGGGCAGAAGCTCATCAACCACCCTGTGATCCGCATGAAGCTCGCACACATGGCGCGCCAAATTGAGGCCAGCTACAACTGGCTGGAGAACATCATCTACCAGTGCCAGCGAATGGGCGATACGGAGGCCATGCTGCGGCTGGGCGGTGCCATTGCAGGGCTCAAGGCTCAGGCTACGACGACGTTCGAGTTCTGCGCCAAGGAGGCGGCTCAGGTATTTGGTGGCCTGGCTTATTCGCGCGGTGGACAGGGTGGGAAGATTGAGCGGTTGTACCGTGACACTCTGGCATACAAGATCCCAGGAGGCAGCGAGGAAATCATGCTGGATCTGAGTATTCGACAGAGCTTGAAGGTGCACAAGGCGCTGGGCATGAAGCTGTGATTTTGTTTGCATGCACAGCGGTTGTACGGAGTAGGTGGTTATACAAGTACACAATACTGCATTTCTTGGGGTGTATTCTTTTGCCTGGGCCGGTGATGCGAGCTTGGCTTGCTAGTCACGACACCAACCCGTGAAGGAGCAGGGCTGACAACTACTACAAGTAGGTGAGGGCATCAAGGGAGACTCTGAATGGATGAGTTTCAGGCGGAAGAGTCAATGGAAGCACGCGGAGCAAGTTTTTGACTGGCCCACTTTTTGGTTGGTACTTGGGTAGGTCGTAAGGACTCGTATGATGCAGGTACGACTGTCAATTGTGCAGTTGCAATTGCAGTTGCAGCTGAGTGTCGGTACTTGGTGCCTGTAGTTGCCAGTGGAATCCTCCGAAACCATCCTTGAGAAGATACGTCACCATCATCATGAACCCCTGCTCAACCCCCACCATCCTTGCTACGCCAATCCACTGGATGCTGTCACCCACAAAGACCCATCAGAATTTTTCTCTATTCGTACCCATCGTTCGGCAACGGCTTTTTCTTCCCCTGCCAAATGCCCTGCTGGTGCTGCCAGTGCCTGCTTCTGCGTGTTAGTCTGTGCGTCGCCTCAGAGTCGTAAGCGACAAACCAAGTATGTCGACCCTCTTTTTGCCCTGATCATCCTGTCGAATGGCTACTTTTCTCTCAGCAATACCCACCACCACCACCACCATCATCTGTTTCTCCTGCGCCTCGATCTTGCCGCCACCTTGAAGTCAGTATTCGAGGTAGAACCTTCCCCGACTTGTTCAAGCTTTGCCCCAACCATATTCGTCCCTTTGCCATTTTCCATTTATTCGTGCCCTGCCGTGTGCTACTTATAATAGATTCCCGATCTTCCTTGTAACCATATAACTTGTTCCTTTCTTAAATCTATCGATTCGTTACGCTCGTTACCGGATCTAGCATACATCTCATATCTATAATATCTACAATATGCGGGCCTCACAGATTCTTGCCATTGTGGCTGCCCTGCCTTCCACTCTCGCTGCATACAAGGGCTTCAATTATGGTTCCGCGGGCAACGACCAGTCTGCCTTTGAAGGTCAATTCAATTCGGCCAAGGCTTTGGGCTTTGATTCTGCTCGTCTGTATACCATGATTCAAGACGGAACCACCAACACTCCCATCTCTGCCATCCCAGCAGCCATCAGCACCGGCACATCCCTCCTGCTCGGCTTGTGGGCATCCGCAGGGGATGCCATATTCGCCAACGAGGTTGCCGCACTGAATGCCGCCATCGCACAATATGGCTCAGCTTTCACCGACTTGATTGCTGGCATCAGTGTGGGCAGTGAAGACATCTACCGCATCACCCCAATCGGTATTGAGAACAATTCTGGTGTCGGTGTCGGTCCAGCCACAATCATCAACTATATCAACCAGGTTCGATCGGCCATCGCCGGTACCTCGGCCGCAGGAAAGCCCGTTGGCCACGTCGACACTTACAATGTCTGGACCAATTCCAGCCAAAACGACTTGATTGGAGCTTGTGACTTCCTTGGTGTGGACGCGTATCCTTATTATGAGACGACCAAAGCGAACAGCATCGACAACGCCAACGCTACCTTTTGGGATGATTATGACGTGACGGTTGCTGCCGCTCAGGGTAAGCCTGTCTGGATCACTGAAACAGGTTGGCCTGTGTCGGGTCCCACCAGTGGACAAGCTGTTGCTTCGGTCCAGAATGCGCAGACTTACTATGACGAGGTCGGATGCACAGCCTTCGGTGAAGGCGTCAACACCTGGTGGTACATTCTTCAGGACACTGGTGCCAGTCCAAGTTTTGGACTTGTGGGCGCTGGCTCACCTCCTCCAACCACGCCACTGTACTCTCTGAGCTGCTAAGCATAACGTTTGGGTATTAACGGTTGTCAATATACGTAATAGATTAGGGTACATCAAAGTGGGCGAAAAGTTGGGGTGATTGGGTACGAATAACTATAGAAAAATGATCAATAATGAAGATATATACATAGTCAACAATGACGAGAAAAAGCTGCATTGACTTACATCTGGCCCAGTGAAGTGAAGGGGTTTTCAGATCAGCCTCGTCTCGAGCGAGACAACCAATCAACGGGCTTGTTAGGTGAGTCTGGGCGCTAACCCGGATTGGGCTATGTCAACATCTCAGATTGTAAACAATGGCTTGTGCATCGAGTCTCAGTCTTTTCTCTCCCCCGCATCCGCCCATCCTCTTTCTCAATACTACTAACAACAGGTTTTCTTGGACGATTGTGCTATACCAAAGCGTCTAGCATTGCAATTTTCCTTCAATCCGGTGTTGGGACTTTGGAACCACTGAAATGGCGCCGAGGAAAGCTGTAAGCCCAGCGAAGCCTCGCCGCATCACCCGCGCCCGAGCAGCTGATGCCGGCACCACCACCACCGCGACGACACCAATCGAAGAAACTTCCAAGCGACGAACCACCAAAGCGGCGCCCATACCCACGACAAGCGGTGCGAAAGCCCTGGAGGCAAAATCCCGAGTTACTAAGAAGACGACGACGAGTAAAGGGACAAAGGGTGGACGAGCAAACACGAGGTCGGCCAAGGTGCTGCCTGTCCTAGAGGAGGATGCCAGTGATCAAGACGACGATGAAGAAGTGATGGAAGCCACGGTTACCAAGCCGCCTGTCAAGCCATCGAGGACCTCGACGCGAACCACTGCAAACACCTCCGCCCCTACCGCGACTGCTGGTCTGGCGGCAGCGCCTCGACGTCGAGTAAAGGTCACGCCATTGACTCAGAATGACTCTCAACCTGAACCAGTCGTTACAGCGCCTTCAGAAAAAGTCACCGTAGCGAAGAAGGCGTCTGCAAAGGCAAAGAAGGAAAGCACCTCGGCAGAAGAGAAGAAGCCAGCTACATCACGAAGTAAGAAAGAATCTGCGGCTGTGAAACAAAACAAGGACGCAAATGTCGCGGGCACCAACCCAGAACCCAAAAAGCGAGGACGGGGTCGAACTGTGCAGAACGACCCGGGGCCGGAAGAAGAGCCTCCGCAGGTCTCTACGTCGACAGCAGCCAAGTCTCGTGGAAAGCCGAAGAAGGAGAAGATTCCTCTACCGCCCGTGGAAGAGCCTAAGCCTGCGCCTGTCACAACTCGGCAGACACGAGCCAGGGCCGGGTCCGTGAACTCATCTGTCGCTGCAGAGCCTGCTGTCAGTGTTGTGGTCCCCGTGAAGAAGAAAGTCACCTTCGAAGCTCTCCCTGAGGATGACGACGAGAAAGAGAATAAACGACCCAGAACCATGGCCAAGTCCAAGAGCACAAAGGCATCAGCTGCCTCAAAGAAGGCCGAGACGACAGCCACCGGCATGCGTGCGAAACCGATTCGGAAGCCTGCCACCACTAGAACGGCAAAAGCCACTCGAGCAACAGGTCCCTCGAAAGCTGTGGCATGCAAGCCTCAGAAAGAGACCGAGGTCACAGAAAAGATCCAGGCTCGAGCACTAACCCCGAAAAAGATTACACAAGTCGCAAAGGGAATGCCCATGGATAGTGACGAGGAGGAGGAAGATGAGCTTGCTGGCGCGAAAACACCGGTTCGCGATCTGAGCCTCTCACCCAAACGTGGACTCGCGGCTTCGGCGACACGACCGTTGTCGCCCATCAAGAAGCTTGACTTTTCACCCGCATTCCACCTAGGATCACCTCAGAAAAACCATATATCTGAGGCTATGGCTATGTTGAGCCCGCCGCGGCGGCAGGCTTCTCCAGCCAAGGACTCGTTGAAAGAATCCCCTCGACGAGCGCCTGAGGGCGTTACGATCTTCCGGGCAAATGTTCCAGACATCCATAACACCGCAGCCCTGGTCCTGGACCCTTGCAACACCCAGTCCATGCTTCACCAATCCCCAAAGAGAGGCTTATCGGATAGACTAGTGTTCCCGCCATCCGCTGTAAAGTTACGAACCACTCCACTCAAAACCTCCTTGTTGTCTTCGCCTGCCCGACGCCTCTTCTCGGCTTCAAAGCAGCGGACGCCTGCTCAGGTGTCGCCATCGTTTGGGAAGATTTCCGAGCAAGAATCACCGGATTCGTCAGTCGACGAGGCAGTGCTACAGAATGAAGAGAGTGAAGAAGTTGTAGTGTCCTCGCATTTCAGATCGTCAGTCTCTCCACAGCGTTTGGCAAGGGTGTATAGGCTGAGTGAGGATGAGCTGGCCGAGGAACGGGACGGTGACGTCGATTTCGACCAGTCGGTGCTGAACATCAGAAGTCCTCTCAAGGTGGACAAGTCGAAGCCCGTCGAGGAGACTTTGGCCGAGGAAATGGTTCTGGAGGACCCGGCCGTTGAGGATGATGTTCAGTCAGCTGCGGAGGAAAACGATCATGAGGAATACATGGAAGTTGATGCCACCGACAACACAGCTCCAGATCCCGCAGTCGATGCAGACGAAACTATCGTGGATCCTGAGTTTGAAGCTGACGAGCCATCTGACGAGGAGGAGATCTCGGACATTGTCGAAGACGTCGGTGCTCACGCTACTGAAGATGCCCACCAAGATGTGGAAAGTCCTGTCAAGAAACCCAGAATGTCGGACGCCCTCTTCAGCCGCCTTCGACACATCGACGACGACTCTGAAGATGAACTTGCTGTAGAACAGACACCAGACAATCGAGCTCTCAGACCAAGCTTTCGACCCAGCATCGGCGCTGTGGATATTGGGTCTCGTCTCTCGACAGGAGTTGCCCCAGAGAGTGCATCTAAAAATCTGGGTTTCACTCCTCTGGCCGCCCAAGTCCAAGGTTGGCGTGCTGCCAGTCCTGAAAAGAGGGCCTCTGCTCTTTCCAGGTCACGGGGACTGTTTTCGCCTGTTGCTCAGATGCACGTTACTGGGGCTGTGGAGCTGAGTAGGCCTAATACTCCAGGGCGGGAATCGTCGAAACGAAAGTCAATAGCCAGCAGGCTTTCTCTGGCTGCTTCCACTGCCGAAAGCCCCGCCGGGCCTAACTTCTTCGCTGATGGGATGGCTGCGCGAGACTTTCAAGATCAGGTAGAAGACGATGCTGCTGCTGTGGAAGACGAAGATCTTCACAACCTGATGGCACAAGATGTTTCACAGCAAAATACGCCTGACGAACTCGACGGAGAGGTTGAAGCCTCATCTGGAGACGAGGCGGCCAAGACAACGGCAGAGTTGACGACGGACTTGATCAACTTTACCAACGCATCCGATACCGCCATGGTCGATTTCAAGGCTCTGGCAAATGAAGCTGAAGATCTTGCGGCTCAAGATGGACACGATACGGAAGCTGCTCTCAACGAACAGGAGGCTAACGTGACAGTTCCCACTGTTTTGCTCGAGACGGTAAATGAAGAGCAATCTATGCTTTCTGTTTCCACTTCTTCTGGATCCTATGGCGATGAAAACACAGCTCCCATTGAGTCGTTGGCAGATGAGTCCGAGACGGATGAAATGGAAGAGTTACCTACCGAGGAGAGCGCGGAATGCCACGCCAAAGTGATTGACGAAGCCCGAGAAGAGGACAGCGATATCGATCAAAGTGTCCCTGAAGGTGCAGAACAAGACGAGGATGCTATAAACGCCACATCTGACACAGAGGACGAGCTGGATGAAGTCACTGCTGCCAGCATAGAGACCTCCCCACCCAAGAACGACCACGCCCCTGCATATGTCGAGAGTGTGATCCAGGAAATGGATTTCAACGTAACTCCTGTCCGTCCGGATCCAGGCCTCCCGAGATATGTTCAAACTGTGGTGTCCAAAGTCCCGCTTCGCCCTGAAGGAGAGATTCCTCTTGCTTCATCGCCACTCAAAGTTCAGAGGAAAAGACCGCGGTCGCTATCTTCTTCGCATGTACAAGCGGTCAAGCGACGTAGCTTAGGCCCCATCTTGAAGGCTCCCTCATTTAACATGGACCCTCTTGCAACCCCGAGGGCGAATGTGACCATGTCACCTCAGAGACGAATTCGCAGTGCTGCACCCAGTCCAGCAAATTCACTCGCCTCAGGCTTGACGACACCTGGTCAAATGAGCTTTACCGCCGACGACTTTGGCGACAGTACGCTTGATGGGATCGATTTGCCGGGGGAAGAATTGATGTCTGATGATGTTGAGGAGACGGAAATCGCTGAACAGGATGAGAGTGTCCTAAGCATTGGCTCTGCCTTGTTCAGAACGCCAGCCGCTGCGTCGAAGAGAAGCAGCATTGTCCCTTCTACCGGGCAGTCAAAAACAGCTACAACACCTCGCTACGCAATGAGCACAAAGTCGAGCTCCAACAGACTCAATGCCACCCCTAAATTCACGCCCTTAAAAGGAGCTTCCGGGCCTAAGACGCCTGCTACTGTCGCCCGAGCCAAAACTCCGAGCACCTCAGTGAAGCCAAAGTCTGTCGCGAAGACTCCACAGACCGGCCGGAACCCTCTGAAACCAGTCGGAAATGGTGTTCTTCATGGTGCAATTGTCCACACCGACATCCACACCAGTGAAGGGATGGACGCTTCGGCCTTCTACATTGATCTGCTTACATCTATGGGAGCGCGAGTGGTCAAAGAGTGGAGGTGGAATCCCAGAGCCAGCATCCCTCCCACCAACCAGGACTCTACCGATTCGGGTGACTCGATCGGTAACGTTGGCATAACGCACGTCGTCTACAAGGACGGTGGGAAACGCACCTTGGAAAAGGTCCGCTCTGCCAAAGGCCAAGTGCTCTGCGTCGGAGTCGGTTGGGTGCTCGACTGCATGCGCGAAGGCAAGTGGCTTGACGAGTCCGCATTCGCTGTCGATGCAAGTATCATGCCTCGGGGCGGATCCCGGAGACGCAAGTCCATGGAGCCCAGAATGCTCGTCAACGCCAATGGGCTTTTATCAACTAGCAGGGACCAAAGACGGAGCGTCTCTGCCGAGTACATGGGGTTCACTGGGGAGATGAAGACGGACTTGATCAAAACTCCCGTGAGAGGAGATGAGAACCGTGGAAACGGCGTCGAGGTCGAAGATGAATCGGAGATTAGTTCGACATACAACTCTCCGACTGCGGCGACGATGTGGGGAGGTGGTGATACTGCCAACGTGGGTGCTCTGATGGCCCAGCAGGACAAGGAGACGCCTGGATCAGTCGTTTCCAAAAAGTTCACCACAAACGTGTCGACTCCAAAGTCTGTTTCCCTGGAGGTGGACTACGATCCTCGCACCGCAGCCACGCCGTTGACTCCCTACCTTGTGGCCAAGGGACGAGAGTTGGGGCAAATGAGTGCGCCTCCGAAACAAATCAACAAGAGCCTCTTTGATCGTGACGAAGACGATGACAGCGCTGCGCCAGAGAAAGGGCAAGCAAATGGTGGCAAGAAGTTTCAGGTCAAGATGCAGGGCAAATCGGCTAAGGGGTTGCTGGACGCGAGGAGGAAGACTCTGGGGGTGGGTGTCGCCGGGATGGGATTTCAGCCTCGTTTCGGAAGTCCCTTGAGAAAGGAGTGATGTGGCACCGACGAGGTCAAGGAATGAAACAGAAACTGACTGGGAGTCTGGAGTTGGACGTTTTGTATATACATGCATGCGAGGCAGAAGCTGAAATTTGGACTGTGGGTTTGGCGTTTTTGGGTCACGAAAGGCCTTGAGGGTTTGGACAGGGGATGATAGTAATGGTTGGGAGAGGCTGATCAGGTCAATTGAGTGGAGTGGAGTGGCGCGTGGAGTGTGGAGTGGATAGGATTGAGATTGATTGAAACTGAGACTGAGACTGAGCCTGAGCTTGAGAATGACCATGAACACGAACACGAACATAAACACCTATTGATGTTGTTGTTTCCGTGTTGTCAACCTAGATTCGTCCCGTCCATTTTCTCATATGATGGTATCCCATCTCCTGCGCCAAGTGTTTTGCCGCCATCAGAAGTATGTACTCCCCTCTCGTCCTTCCTTGATGAATTTTGCATCCTACACCAGAACACAGCACAGCACAGCACATCACGCCGCCGCAGCGGAGGAGGAAGAAGCATCGCGATAAAACCCCGCGACTAAAAAGGCCAGCTCGAGGGCCTGCTTCTCGTTGAGGCGCGGGTCGCAAAAGGTGGCGTAGTTGAGACTGAGGTGTTCCTCGGTCAGGCCCTCGGCGCCGCCGATGCACTCGGTCACGGCCTCGCCCGTCAATTCGAGGTGGACGCCGCCCAGGTACGAGGCGTGGGCGCGGTGGATCTGGAGAGCCTGGTGCAGTTCGCTGAGGATGTCGGAGAAGCGGCGCGTCTTGATGGTCGTGGTGGCGCCGCCGGGTGTTCCTGCTGCGTCTGCGGACGATGGCGATGATGATGAGTTGGGGGTAGGAACACTGACGGTGGCATTGCGCCCGTTGCCGTGCATCGGGTCGCACTGCCACACCACGGTGCCGTGGTGTCGCGACTGCTGCACCGCGCGGATGTGGGCCGGGAGGTGCGCGGCGATCTTGTCACAGCCGTAGCGGGTGATGAGGACGATCTTGCCCACCTCGTGCTCCGGGTTGAGGATGTCGAGGAGCGGGACGAGATCCGCAGGTGGCATGCTGGGACCGACCTTGACGCCGATCGGGTTGGCGATGCCCCGGAAGAACTCGACGTGCGAGTGCGTGAGCTGCCGCGTGCGGTCGCCGATCCAGAGCATGTGCGCCGACGTGTCGTAGTAGCCCTTTGTCGGGGGCAAGGGCGGGGGCAGCTGTGTCGGCAAGGACGTCTTGCGCGTCTTGGACAGGTTTTTGTGAGTGGTGGCCGGGGAGGAAGGGCGGTGGTGGGCGGTGGCGGCGGCGGCGGCGGCTTGGTCTTGGTGGTGGTTGGGAGGATGTTTGAATTTTCGGGTGAGGGATTGTTCGTATTCGAGCAGGAGGCCTTCGTGCGACGTGAACAGGTCGACCGTCTCCAGCCCGCCGCCCGTGTCCAGCCCGATGGTGCGCATCATGTCCAGCGTGTCCGTGATCCGCTCCACGATGACCTGGTATTTGTCTCGCACGGTCGGATCGCGCACGTGGCCCAGACTCCAGTCCAGCGGCGCATGCAGATCGGCCAGTCCGCTCGCCAGCGCCGCGCGGAGATAGTTCTGTGTCGCGGCCGAGTGAAAGTACGCGTCGACCATTCTCTTGGGGTCCGGTTCTCGCAAGGCCGGGTCCGCCTCGTAACTGTTCAGGATGTCGCCGCGGAAACTGGGCATGGGGACGCCGTTGACGACCTCGGTCGGGGAGGAGCGCGGCTTCGCATACTGGCCGGCCATGCGCGCCACGCGGACGACCTTCTTCTTGGCGCCGTAGATCAACACCAGCGACATCTGGAGGAGGAGCTTGACCTTGGCCTCGATCATGTCTTGGGTGCAGTAGTCGAACAGTTCGGCGCAGTCGCCTCCCTGGAGGAGGAAGGCGTTCCCCGTCGCGACCTCACGGAGCTCGTTCTTCAATTTGACAATCTCCCGCGGCGTGACCAGCGGTGGCAGGGTGTTTAGTTTTTGGACCGAGGCGTCGAAGGACTTGACGTCGCTGTACTGGACGGACTGCACGATGGGTTTGGCTTTCCAGCTCGACGGCGTCCAGAGACCCGTCGCGGCGTGCCTGGCCGAGCCGTTTGTCTCCATGATGTACGTACCGCCCTAGGTCGACTCTAACGGAAACAACCGCTCAGATTCGCAAGCACGTTTAGAAGGTGGTTTTCCAAAGAATCAATATGCGAGAGGTATACAAGGGATGAGTCACCGCTAGTAGAAAGAGTGGGGACGTGGCTGTAAGCCAGGGTACATGTAGACTCTCTAGATTCTCAGCACAACTCAATGGATGAAATTTCCCCTAAAGATTAAAGACTAGACTGCTTCCTGTCGCCGGAAGTGGGTGAAAAACAGAAGTTCGACTTCCCTCGTGTCTTGAAAGGCCCTGATATGACGCTATCCCTTTTCAGGCTAGCGTCTTGTAACGGTGGGCTGTTGACCTGCAGAAGTGCGGGACTTGGGGAGATTCAAACACTGCCTCTTGCATCGCACGACACAATTACCCATTTTCTTCGTGGCCTCCCCCTCAAAACCAGCCAGTCAACTCGGTCAAGATGGCGGAACCAATTCCATCGGCATCTACCGCCGCCGCGGACGCCGCAGACGACGAAACGTCCCAAAACCTGCCCAACAACGCCGAGGACCGCAAGGCCGCGGCGGCGCTCAATTCTCTCAATGCCAACGAGATGTCCACCGAGAACGGGGAGAGTGGCACGAGACAGCCCTCCGCGGCCGACCAAGAAGCGCTGGGAAAGGCCATGTCGAGACTGGAGATTGCCAGCGGCGTGGGAAAGAAAAAGGAGGACACGACCAAGACGCAGGCGAAGAAGGAGGTCGAGGTGAAAAAGAAGGTCAAAATCGCGGCCGAGGATGTCAATCTTTTGGTGCGCAATTGCCGTGGATTCTTTTTCGGGCTGTCCAAAAAAATCGCTGATACGTGGGCACAGGTCGAAGAACTGGATCTTTCCAAGACCAAGGCTACCGAGCTGTTACGCTCGCACGACGGAAATGCTACGTTGGCGATCAAAGCCTTCATCATCCCTGCTGCTCGAGCTTGAGCACTCTTTGGAGTTGCTACAGGCTTGTTGGGACGGAGGGTCCTGGACTCAGCACCGTGATCGACTCAAGTCCTCCGTCCAGATACACCCAAAGTCGTGGGGGAAGATGCACCCGAGTCCGGCTGTCAGGAGTAGTAAACTGCAAAGGATAAGTAAATCCGTGCACTGATCCTATCGCAGCATGCCGTACGACTACTCAAGAATTATGGGGAACAACGCATGGTACGACGCGGGCATAGTGATCGTTTTCGAGAGCCAGGATCAACTTGGAGGGATGATAGAGACTCGAACAAAAGCTGATGGAGGATTCGAACAAGCCGCCTCTCAGTAGCCGCCATTTTGTAGACGGGCAGACAGGCACTACAGGCTATGCTCCGGCAGAGATTCGGGTCATCTTCGGCACAGCGGCGCTGATTGATGAGATAGCATTCGACGGTCGACGGCAAATACTCCGTTCTTCTGTTGTTGGGACCACTTGAATTTATCCAAAGCCAATGGCATGTAGCCGTAGCTCAGATCTTGCAGGCTGTTAAATCGACTGTTACGGTTGATTGAATTGAAGGTCTTGGCAGCCCGAAACCACTCAATCCTATATCATGATGATGTAAAAGTCGTACATCTTGCATCTAATCAAGACAGACGGACTCCCTCGCCATTGAGAACTGCCTGCAAGCAGAGAACACTTCATTCGTACATTCTCAGAACACCCAAGATCAGTCGCTCTGCAACACAATGGGTATACAAGAGTGGACCGTCACAGAGGTTTGTAGGTCCCAAAAACCCCTCGAGGACTCTACTGAGGTTCGAGCCAGGCATACTATCCCTCAAAATGCAGCTTGGGTGAAGGTCCGTATTATACCAAAGAGCGAAATGAGCTTCGATACATGGTTTGTGGATAATGACTTGACCACTTGCATCGTTGTTGCCCCAGCTGACCACGAGTCTAACCCAGGACATCAATAATAAAAAGCTCTTCATCATCGACCTCGCCAAAGGACCCGAGTCGGTCAAGATCATCGACACGTCGCAGCCGATTGGAGTCACGGCGAATATCGAGGGTGTTGACTCCTCAGAAGTCATCCTGGCCGGCGCAAAGGACGGTGTCACCAAGTTTAACCTGAAAACTGGGGAGCATGAGTACGTCGCCAAGTACTGGAAGGGAGCAGACGCGGAGGACAAGGCGAGGAGGTAAGAGCTCCTAGAACAGGGTCAATTGACGAATATGTCACTCACACCAGCACTCAGAATGCGGTCGAATGATGGCGCAGTCGACACCCAGGGACGGTTCTGGGTCGAAGCATTCGTCGACCCGGAGATATCGCAAGTGACGGACGAAGGTTGCCTTTTCCGGCTCGACCACGACGGCACGCTGCAGACGATGCACGAGGGGATGAAAATCCCCAACGGCATCACCTGGAACGCCGGCGACAGCACCATGTTCCTGACGGACTCGCCACCGCAGAACGTGTATGCGTTCGACTACGACGCGCGGACAGGGGCCATATCCAACAAACGCATCTTCTTCCACCTGGATGAAGAGGGCGTGCACCCGGACGGCCACGCCATGGACGTCGAGGGCAACATCTGGCACGCCTGCTACGGCGGCTCCAAGGTGATCCGGATCTCGCCCCAAGGCGTCGTCACCGGAATCGTCCACCTCCCGACCCGGAACATCACCTGCCCAACCTTTGCGGGCACGGCGCTGTTCATCACCAGCGCCCGCGAGTCCCAGCCTGACAAATACCCGGATTCGGCCAAATTCGCCGGAAATTTGTTCAGGGTTGACGTCGGCGTCGAGGGCATGCCCAAATACAGGGCTCGCTTGGACTAAGACCCCAGTCCTGGTTTTTTTGTTCGTGTGCAAGGGTTTGTGTCTTCTAGAAAACAACAGTGAACCGAGACGCGAGATTAAAGGTTTGATTCGGCTGGCCATTTCGTCTAGGTATTACCTCGCATTAGGAGCAAAAAACGGGAAGAGTTGCCCTGTTGAGTTAAGGCAATGAGAACCAGCAGTTGAGCAAAAAGAGATGACGGGGTTGGGGCAATTAATTACATACCTCCTCGCTTCGCACTGTGTTCCTCGTAGTTTCCCAGACTCTCGAGAAGACAGGGCTGCACCTACCCGCCTAGGCAAGGTAAGGTACCTAAGGGGAAAGCGACGTCAATCATCCCCAAAGTACCAAGTAGTACCTTGTACAATTAGTCTCCCTGGCCTCCTTTGTATCCCTTGGTGTTTGTTCGCCCGCTCTCACCCCTGTACTCTGGTACTCGATACCTTTTTCCCCGACTGTCATTGTCTCATAAAATCATAAAATCCCGACAAGGATCCTTTCATCTCTTCAAGGTAGATGACAGGGCTGACCTGACCGGGGTCTTGCGACAAGGCTGCCTAGCCACCCTTGCCTCGCCCTGCCTTGCCCTGCCTAGTCTCGCTGGCTGGGTCTCGGACAAGGTCGGTCGGTGATCATAAATAGGTAGATAGCTATTTACCGAACACTTAGACGAGGTTGTTTTTTGGATCCAAGAGGATCCTAGGAAGGGGGGAACCCGAGGAGGGTATTAGAGGGTATTACTAAAAAGTTGAATGAGGGCTACATTATCTACATTCATACGTAGCTACTCGGCACTCGTAGCTAGCTAGGTACCTGCTGCTTGTGCTTGTACTTGGTACAAAGTACAAGTACTCGTAGGGACGGGTAAGTACAAGCAGTACCGAGTGCTCGTTACAAGACACACACAAAATCCCCCTTTGCTAGAAAATCAAGGTTTGATTGTGCCAATCTACTTGCCTCCCGCCGTTTTGTGCTTGTACGTAGCACTACTACGCTGTGCAAGTACGCTGTGTAATCCGCAGGCATGGCTCATCTGCTTTGTTCACCGTGCACCCGTGGTTACAAAGTCCCCCCTCCCTGCGCAAATTGCATCCACCACCATCCCCGTCCCACGGCACTGGAACCTCACCCCGTTCGCCGTGGATGGATTGACGTGATTAGCTTGCGACTCTAACGGCCAAAAAAGGCTTAGAAGTCGACATCGGCTCGTCATATGCCGCACAACGGCGTTCGGGGGATGGAGGGGCCAAGCTTGGATTTTTTACGAGTGTACCGTTCCAAAGGGCAAGGATGCGCGCACCCTCTGCCGTCTGTCCTCTGCAAAGGTCCGGATCAAGCTGCGTGCAGCAAGGACTCGTATGTAGGTAGTTGAGTTGGGCCTTTCTCTTTTCGCCAGTTGTCTGGGTCTTGGGTTTCTCAGGAGAGAGAGATTAAATCCGAACAAAGGTCTGCATTGAAACTTGTCTTACTCGTACACTCTCGCTTAGTTTCCCAGCCCCGGGAATAGACGTGATGGTGACGGTGTGAGGGGACATGCTTTGAAGCACTTGGTGACTCGCCGGTAAGTGTAGGCCGTGGCTGGCGAGCTTGGACCCTGTGAAACGGATCCTCCAATTTCCCCTTTTTTGGACTGGGAAACTCTATGAAGGTTTCTGCTCGTCTGGGGAAGGGGGGGGAATGGTGGTACAAGTAGTACAGAAAGAGAAGGGGTCGACCCCTGATGAACCTGTTGCCTGCTTCCCAGTCAGCCTCTTCCCATTCCACAGCGGGGGTCACAACTCCCAAAGAAGAGCAACAAGGAGACGAAGGCTGTGACGAAACCAGTGTCGAGCGGTATAAGCGGTACCGGTGGTGGCTTTTTTTGCTCGGCAGGCGTCATCAGGAATAACGGACCATCGACAAGCTAGCCCAACGCCCAGGCAGAGCGGCGTGGGCGGCTGCAGGGGGTGTTTTGAACGCCCCCTTGACGCCTCCAGTCCAGACTAGGCAATGGCCAGGGTCCCTTGGTGTTTAGCCTCACCGGGCGCGCGCGGGATGGCATTTTTCCCACGTGGCCCATGCCATGCTGGAACGGACCCTCTTTTGGACGACAACTTGGGGCTTTGCTTGGGCTAAACTACCCCTCACACACCACACCTCACTCGCTCTCGCAGAAGAAAAAGAAGCTTCACGCTGGAGTTTGTACAAGTAAAGGCGGTCAGGTAGCACCGATGGCTTTGGCTGCTTTGCTGCTTTTGCATCGTATCAAGTGACCACTTCTTAGTGATCCCAATGGACCAAAAGCTCAAACAACAAATAAGCTCTGCTTTGTGGGACCTGCCTGTTACTTTGGAAGAGGTGGAATGCTATTTCCACCACAAGCTCCATCTTTGGCGTCGCGGCACCAAGACAACTAAGAGACCATCTCGAGGGTTTTCGGAGATTCCACCCGTAGAACGTGACAAAGAACAAAAAGTATGTGAGAAAAAAGCAAATACCGCCTCTGGAAGTTGGATTGCTGATCGAGGTAAGGAGAGATAGCACTTGGCCTGTCAACTCACGCAGAAACACGAGGGTATCCAAGACAGATGGCGAATTCCTTGGCTTTCCAAATACAAGTCAACTCAACGGCGTTGCAGGTCTCCAAGATCAGCACTTGCCCTCATTATTGTTTTCTTTTCTTTTGCTCCTTTCAGGAAGGCGACATCATGTCCCCCAAAAACGTGCCTCGTCATCCCACGCCCAAGATGCAAGATACTACGATAAGGAAAGTCACGAGGAGGCCAAAGTGCTCGTAGAGGCTTCCTCTCTTGCCAATGGGATCTTTTTATGACCTTGATCTGGGCTAGTACTCGTTAGTCATGAAGAAGGTGGGTTGCTGGTAGTGCCTTCACACACTTTACCTGCATGCATGAAAGGTGGTGGTGCCGTTTTGGATGGTGATTTAGTCCTGGTCTGGTCTGGTCTGGTGCTGCATGACGCCAGAAGGTGCAGCTGCAGCAGCCACAGCAGCTGTGCATAACCGACCACAAATGCGAAATGCGGCTGTGGCAGAGTTCATCCCCGGGGCTCGTCAAACCACAAGACCAATATGTATCCCACTACGTCAATGTCAACCGAGTTGTCGTATTAGGACAGCCACAAGGCTAGAAAGTGACACCATTGGGAGGTAGTCACAATCATGTGCTC